TTGGTCATTCACCGCTCTACCCAACCTACGGAGACTCTTCAAGTTTTATTATCGAACTTACACTTTCACGGAGGCTTCACGGAGATTTTTACCGGCGTAGGTGTGCCGTGGGTTGCTAAGATGCAATATGCCGTCTCTCCGTGAAAAAACGAATGTGAAAATATAATTAACTTATCGTATCAGTATTTTCAGAGCCGGAGGTGCTTATCTTTTCGGGCGCACTTGACGATTTTGTCAAAGGTAATGTAGGTGTTAATTGTCTGAACCAGGATTTACAGGATTAAAGGATTTACAGGATTAGAGAACCTTCTTGATTGAAAACTGCCCTTTATAGAATTACCCAATTATTTTATTATAGTAAAGTCCACAATTACTTGGACATCACGGATGGGCGAGGTTACAAACCTCGCCAGTGATGGAGTGGGGTTGGTGCTTCCTGAGATGTCTACATATTTTCGGGCTTTACTATAATCTGGAAAATAGTCGGAGTTTTTCCTTATAGATAACGCAAGTTGCCACCTATTTATAGACATAGCACCCCTACGGGGTGCGGGAACTTCAACGGACGCTTTTCTATTCTCACTGCGAAGCAATATCACCCCTACGGGGTGGGGAAAGTGCCTAAAAAACTGTGCTGAAACGTTCAAAACTTGTTAGTAGCAACTTGGGTTATAGATAGATTTAGCGGATAATCTCGCTAATATGAAGATAAAAAAAATAATTCGGTAATTTTTAGGAGTGCCCGGTGCGGTTCGGAAACCGCACCTACCACATTAGAGGTATAAGCGCGAGCGATGGGTATTTTTTTCCCTTGCATTACAAACCGATTTCGTCTAAACTCATTTAGCAATTCAATTCTGCTTATGAGGAAATCAGGGCTGTTTAGTTCTCGGTTTTTTGGCTATTTTAGAGAAGGACTCTCGATTCAGAGATCGTTCCTACCACGATATGTCGGGATTCGGAGATCCCTCCTACAGAAGAACTAAATGCCTCTATGAGGAGATCACAACATGACTATCCGAGTCGGTATTGTGGGTACGGGCCGGCATTTCACGTGCGCACCAGAGAACCTACACGGCAGTAGGCGGTTTCGAGATCGTCGCGGTGTGCGACATTATCAAAAGTAAGGCAAATGAAGCCGCCGAACAGTGGGGTGTCCCGAAAAAGCACGTCTTCTCAAGCTACAATAAGATGCTTGAAATGGACGAAATCGATACGGTGAGTGTTTGTACTTACAACCAAGGCCATCGGCGTCCGACGGTCGCGGCATTGAATGCCGGTAAACACGTCTTCTGTGAAAAACCGATGGCGGCGACACTTCCTGATGCCACAGCGATGGTGCGGGCAGCGAAACATCAGGAAAAATTCTGCAGATCGGTCTCCATAGCACGTTCAATCCGAGACTCCAATTCGCGAAGAAGGTCATCGATGAAGGATTACTCGGCGATATTTACTATTCCGAGTCCTCGGGGGGCAGACGACGCGGGAACCCTGGACGTACGTTCATCTACAAAAAGACGGCGGGTGCCGGTGCGATTGTAGACATCGGTGTCTATAACATGCACAATTCGCTGTATGCGATGGGGTATCCGAAACCGGTGCGAGTCTCCGCCATCACTGAAGATTATATTTCGCAGCAAGACCCACAATTCCGTGGTATCATGGATGTCGAAGAGTTCGGTGTAGCGTGGGTCAGGTTTGAAGATGGCGGCGTGATGGTGTTCAAAATCTCTTGGGCGATTCATCAGGATTCGCTCGGTCCGAGTTTCTGTCTCGGTAAAGAAATGGGTATCGCCTTGGATGGAGCTGTTGTCTATGCCGATGCCTATACCGATGATCTCAAGAAATTGGTGAAATCGGAAGGATTGACAGCAGAACCAAACCCACCGGAGGGATGACGACGATCCGTTTCTCAGGATTCCCAGAGGTCGATGTTTGGGAAGCACAGATGACGGCGTTCCGAGAAGCCGTCAAAGCAGACGCACCCTCCCCGATACCACCAGAGGGTGTGCTGCTCACGAACGTAATTATGGACGGTATCTTCCGCTCACATGAATCCGGAAAAGAGGTTGCGGTCAGAGTGCCGGAGATTTAATAGCGATCAGCAGTCAGCGGAGAGGACATATTTAGTCCCTACATATTTTTATATTTCACCATAAACAGGGCTTACGCACAATTGGGACGCACGCCGATAAACCGGTGGTCAGATTTCAAACCTCGCCAGCAAATACGGGGAATTCGCGTCAGTCCTACATAAATTGATTATGAGGAGATAACAGTATGACTGTCCGGGTTGGTATTATTGGTACGGGTGGCATTTCACGTGCGCACCAGAGCACATACGAGAAAGTAGGTGGTTTTGAAATCGTTGCGGTCTGCGACATCATCAAAAGTAAGGCGAACCAAGCCGCTGAACAGTGGGGTGTCCCGAAAAAAACATGCCTTTTCAAGTTACAACAAGATGCTTGAAATGGACGAGATCGATGCAGTGAGTGTCTGCACTTACAATCAGGGACATCGGCGACCGACAGTCGCGGCATTGAACGCCGGTAAGCATGTCCTCTGTGAAAAACCGATGGCGGCGACGCTCCCAGATGCGACCGCGATGGTACGTGCAGCAAAGGCATCAGGCAACATCTTACAAATCGGTCTCAATCCAACGTTTAGTCCGAGACTCCAATTTGTAAGAAAGGCGTTCGATGCGGGATTATTCGGCGATATCTATTACTCTGAATCCGCAGGATGCAGGCGACGCGGGAACCCGGGACATACGTTCATCTACAAAAAGACAGCGGGGGCGGGGGCGACCGTCGATATTGGTGTCTACAACATGCATGCCTCGCTGTATGCGATGGGGTACCCAAAACCGGTACGGGTCTCTGCTATCACCGAGGATTACATTTCGCAGCAAGATCCAAGATTTCGGGGTATCATGGATGTTGAAGAGTTCGGTGCGGCGTGGGTGCGGTTTGAAAACGGTGGTGTAATGGTGTTCAAAATCTCCTGGGCAGTGCATCAGGATTCGCTCGGTGGCAACTTCCATCTTGGGACGAAAGCGGGGTTCTCGTTGAATGGACCGGTTGTTTACGCCGATGCGTATGCCGGTGATCTCAAGAAGTTTGTCGAATCAGAGGGATTAACAGCGGAACCGAACCCGCCGGAAGGGATGACAACGATCCGGTTTTTAGGATTTCCAGAGGAAGATAACTGGGCGGCACAGATGACGGCGTTCCGAGAAGCCGTCAAAGCAGACGCACCGTCCCCGATACCGCCGGAGGGTGTGCTGCTCACGAATGTGATTATGGACGGTATTTCCCGTTCGCACGCGGCGGGGAAAGAGGTTGCGGTTCGGGTGCCAGAGATTTAATAGCGATCAGCAGTCAGCAATCAGTCGTCAGCGGAGAGGATATATTTAGTGCCTACAGCGTATCTCATAAATATTTTGAGGGTATTCCAATAAGAATTTCCCTTTGGAAGAAACCCCCTAAATCCCCCTTATCAGGGGACTTTGAGGAGAAATGCGTAAGTCCTAATTCTTCATAAAACCGCATCTACTGACGGCTGACCGCTGACGGCTGACAGCCCAATTTCACAACCGCACCTACCTTGTTTTGGGGGCAGACAACACACATCCATGCGCGCGTACCGCGCACATCCACTGTCAATTGCGTGGGCAACCCTGAGAGAACGCCGTTGCTTCAGATCATCATTAAGCAGCCTGTGTTGTGAAGTGAGTAGCACCATCCTCCCTCTCGGTCTCAGGACGCGCTCGTATTCTCTGAGACATTGACGATATAGACTCGTAAGCTCCGGCACATCTCCGACGGTCTCTCCGAACGGAGATTACAGACAATTTTATCAACAGTGTGATCGTAACGGCAAACTCTGTGCGTCCCAGTGAAAGAATTGACGCGGCTGATGTTGCCTCCCGAAATTCGACACGGTCGCGTCCAAAGCATCTGTAGAGCATCGCCGCCGATCAAGTAACGATACCGTTGATAAGTGCGCGTTCCAAAAGGATAGTCCCGGCACCACACATCGCGTCCAAAAAGACATCCTCTGGATGTGGTCGTGAAAGGCGCACCATACTGTATGCCAAAGTCGGTTTGAGGGATGCGGGTATATGTGCCTGTTTATACGGACGTTGCGCCATATCGTTTGGGGAAAGCTTGACGCTGATATAGCCGTCGTCTCCATGGACTTCTGCCCAGATATCTAAAGCTGAGTTCGCCGGTGTCAGATACCATCCCCGATCCAGTAACGTCCGTTCAATGACACTCTGCAGATCAACGCGTCGGAAGTTGCGTTTTCCTGAGAGTCGGCTCGTTACCCGAAACGGCATCCGTTTGTGGACAGTGATACCCACCTGCCGACAGCAATTAAACGTCTCTTTGAAATTGAAACGCCCGAGTGAACTTCTCAGTGCGGCTAAGGAGCTGCGTGAGCGTGTCATCTTCGGCATCTGCTTTAGAATGAGAAAGAGATGCTCAGCTGTTCGGAGGGACAGCAATTCCCGCGGGTTACCAGTATACTGGAAGAGGATCCGTTGCGGTTTCCGTTCGATATTTTTCAGATGTCCGGTGTCTGCAAAGCGTTCCGATAACTCCTCACGTGCGATAGTTTCGAGCCCTGCGCTTACAGTGATTGCATAAAGCATGATTTTTAAACTTACCTTGCGGAGAAACGACGTAGGATTGACATTTTTAAACTTACCTTGCGGAGAAACGACGTAGGATTGACATTTAACGTGCCTTTTTTCGTATCCGCCCTCCATTTCATTACGGGCTACTGCTTTGTCATGTCAAAGTTGATAGGTGAAAAGATCGCGAGCACAGCTCGCTCCTACAGGAAGAACGCCGTCAGGAGACCCGAGATCTAAACTTTTATATCCATCATTTGGAACTTGACTTAGCACTACGGTCTCGTCTGAACCGTGATTTTTGCGATAATCCGCGTCAATCAGCGACTTAGACGAGCATTAATGCAGTTAGGGACTACACCTACTGGGGTTCGGGCCAATTTAAGTGGCGATGTAGGAACCGGAACGTCCCAGCGGAATTAATTTGATGTCCACCGTCAAAGAATTCGATCTCCGTTCTATCAGCGATACCCAGTTGAACGAAAAGCCGTCGAACGACAGCGAATTCGTGTGCGACCCATTCATCCGGAGCAACACCGTCTTCATGTCCACGTTCCACCATGAAGGGGCGCGGTGCGATCAATCCTGCCATCTCACCGTAGTTGAAGGTATTCCCTAAATCGAACTCGGGCATCTCATATTCACCCGTGAACATATAACTGTACCGAGAATAATAGGTCGCATTTTTGACGATCCACTCGTTGAAATCAGCGGAACAGATTGAGCAGGCGTAGCGTTCAAGCAGGGCAGGGACGCGCATCGCCGTTTTGCCACCGTAAGATAACCCGTAAAATCCAATCCGATCCGCATCAACAAAGGACTGTTCCGCGAGCCAATCAAGTGTTCGCTCATGTTGGCGGACGATCAAGGAAAAGAGCGACCATTTTACCGGATTCGCCTTGCGTTGAAGGACGCGGAAGGCATCTACACCGATATACGGATTCTGTGGCGCGTAGACGACGAACCCTCTATCCGCTAACTGTGCGGCGTAGGAGTGATAGACAGATTCTATTCTTGGGTCAGCGGTATCCTGCGGTCGTCCCTCTAAGCCGTGCTGACAAACGACAACGGGACGCTCTTCACCCGGCTGGAGATCGTTCGGAAGAAGCAAGATACCGTAAGCGAAAACGTCCTTCCAAACATCAAGAACGACTTCGTAGCCTTTCCAGAGGGGTTCATCGTAGATGAGCCGCGTCCTTGGGTTGGCGGGAACATCGGGTGGTGGACACCTACCGATAACCTCGTCCCAGAAATAGGCTTTGGCATCCGTACACGTTTCCTCCCATCGCGTGAGCGAAGAGGTATCAGTTTTATCCCAGAAGAACTGCTGCCGTCGCGATGCGGCTTCTCTCAAAAAGCGTTGGGATAGATTCACCAGCTGCATAAACTGTCGCTGCTGACGTGCCTCGTAATCAAAATCGTCAACCGTGCTTGAGGAGAGGAGATAGTGGCTGTCAATACGTGCGTTTTCAACACCGAGTCCAGTAAGCAAAGCAGTTAACGCTTCCTCAGAACCCGGTAATCCATCTACAGGAGAAACGAGACGCAAGGCATCGCCGCTGTCAAGCATTTGATAAAAACCGTGAGCGCGTTCAAACTCCGACTCTACTGCATGGATCGGTGGTGATACCAACTGTCCCGGCGCAGCACCACCCCGTCCATCGCGAACGGATGGCGGACCGGCGACTTCAGGTCCTCGGCTTGTTTCGACAACCAACGGACGCGGCGCAATAAGACTCGCAATTTCAGCATCGCCAAATTCGTGTAGCAGTCCCCACACATTTCGATAGATGGGTTCTCGCCAGACCTCCTGCCGAGATTGGAAATATCCACTGACAGCCGTCGCCTGAATCCGCGTATCGACTGCCGCACTGTAGAGCGCAATCAAACCACCTTCGCCGTACCCAATTACACCAATTGGGGCATCGGATTGAGACATCCAGTCCACTAACGACAACACCTTCTGAACTTCATACCCGATGATATTTCTTCCGAGTTCAAACGCCATCCGATAGATAAATTCGCGGTGCGGTTGATTCGTCATCGCGCCGAGGGTCGGGTTTCCTGAATAGGTATCGTCTCGGTTAATCAGAAGTGGGACGACGACACGACATCCTGCCTTCGCCAAACGTCTCGCAAACTGGATATTCGCTGGCAATTCATCTGTTATCCCCGCTATCGTCTCTGGTGTCCAATCGGCATCGGGTAGGGCAACAATCTGTGCAGTAATTGGGACATTCTGCTTCGGTTCCAACAAAAGTCCTTCGCCCTCTACCTCCTCGAAAACCTGCCATCGAACGCGGGATACCGTGTAATTCTCATCTTCTGTGAGACGGGCGGCGGTTTTTGTCGTGGCAATATAGGTGAGTTCCTCAATTGGCAGCCGTGGATCGAGGCAACCGATCCGCTTTTGAAGACGGGCGCGGTTTGGTTCGACAGATTCGGTATACGCATTGTGTGAACTATAATCTCGATTCCACAATCCTTCCCGTCCTTCGACAGAATTTGCCACAGCGCGGGAAACATAACCATCAAGTACCTCAACCATCTGCGCGGCGAGGTCACCTTCCACCGTTAAAGGGGTCGTTCCATGTAGCGTTTGAGCGGTTTCGTTTGACATTTTTTAATTTTACCTTGCGGGTAAATAACGGGCATTAGAACTATCGGAGACCTTCCGGTATATCCGCCTGCGCCGTTGTTGCAGGCTACAGGTCCTGTACAAATTCTGAGGGCGTTGTGCCCCGACCAAATTTTAATTTTACCTTGCGGGTAAATAACGGGCGTTAGAACTATCGGAGACCTTCGTATATCCGCCTGCGCCGTTGTTGCAGGCTACAGGTTATGGAATCAAGCGCAGAACAGAGATCCATAAATTAAAAGCCTTTTGGGTTATCCTTAACAGGACTTACGCAATTTTGAGCATTACCCGCGCCCTGAAAGAGAGATCGTATAAAAAACACAGACGGTTTCTTGACACAACCTAACAGGTTATGCTACAAAAGAGCAACGTGCATAAGTCCTACTTAAATAACCCCGTGTCGTCTTAACTGTTCCACTTCATCTGGATGCATTCCCAACAAGCCGGTGAGGACCTTGTCCGTATGTTCTCCGAGACTCGGTGCAGGGGCATCTACGCTTCCGGGTGTTTCCGATAGTTTAATCGGTACTCCCGGCACCTCCACTTCGCCTGTGATGTGATGTGCGACGCGTGTAATCATCTCCCGTGCTTGCACCTGTGGATGACTAACGACTTTGTCCATTGCATTGATGGGACCACACGGCACGCCAATGGCTCCAAGCGCATCGATCCAGTCATCAGTCTTCCGTTGCGCCATGATCTCCGAGAGAATAGGAAACAATTCACTATGGTTCTCCGTTCGATCGGCATTCGTTCGGAAACCGCTTATCTGTAATGAGTTCCTGCCGATTGACATGTTCACAGAACTTTGCCCAGAGCGTATCGTTTCCGATTGCGATAATGACGTGTCCATCCGCAGAGACAAACGCTTCAAACGGTGTAATTGCGGGGTGTCTTGCCCCCAAGGGTTTAGGCGGTTCGCCCGTAGCAAAATAGCGGACAACGGCGTTTTCCAAGACAGCAACAAGACTATCTAACATGGCAACATCGACAAACTGTCCACTCCCTGTCCGATTCCGATGGTGCAATGCGGAAAGGACACCGATTGTCGTGAAGAGGGCAGCCGTGATGTCGCTAATAGAGGTGCCAACACGCACTGGGGGTCCCCCCGGTTCACCTGTGATGCTGATGATGCCGCCTATGCCTTGGATAATCATGTCATAAGCACCTTGCTCGGCATAGGGACCGGTCTGTCCGAAACCGGAGCACGCGGCGTAGATAAGCGATGGATGCTCGACTTTCAGCGAGTCGTAGTCCAACCCCAATTTTTTCATCGTCCCCGGACGGAAATTCTCAACAAGAACATCGGTCTGCTTCAACAACTGCTTGAATATTGCCTGCCCACGTTCAGTTTTAAGTTGAGCGTCACGCTCTGCTTTTCCACGATTCACGCTCATGAAATAGAGGCTAAACCCGTTTTTGAAGGGACCAAAATTTCGAGATTCGTCTCCTGTACCGGGCTGCTCAATCTTGATTACCTCTGCTCCGAGGTCACCGAGGAGCATCGTTGCATAGGGACCGGCGAGAACTCGGGTTAAATCCAAAACCTTCATTCCATCGAGGGGGTCCTGCCATCAGCGTATCTCTCCCCGTGTGCGACAATTTTTCACCAACGACTGAGGCGATGCCTCGCGATATTCTCACTTGTTTTAGAGATAACAGTCTCTCCGGCAGTTCAGGCGCAGGGCGGTTGTTGTTCCAACCGATTTCGGAAAGGTAATCTCTCACAAACTGCTTGTCAAAACTCTGCTGCGGTTTACCGGGTTCATAGAGATCCGCGGGCCAGAACCGAGAGGAATCCGGTGTAAAAAACTTCATCAATGACGATCAGTTTTCCATCGCGTTCCCGAATTCAAACTTGGTATCACAGAGGATAATCCCAGCACTTTCGGCGTGTTCAGTGGCGGCTCTGAAAAGTGCGAAACTGGTATCAATCAAACGTATCTGTAAGCTCGCTGCCGACCTCGTTACGCATCTCCTCAATGGAGATCGGTTCGTCATGCTCACCCTGCTCGGCTTTTTGTCGTTGGCGTGACAGAAGTTCTGGAAGCCGGTCAGATTCCTGTAGTCCGTCCGGGAGCTTCTGACACAGATTTGCTCCGTCTTCTGATAGGAGGACAAACGCGGAACCTGCGAGGTACCCGCGCACGACACACTCAACATCAACCCGATCCGCTTTTGCGGACAAGCATGGAACGTCCTTTAGAAGCTCTGCATCCGGTTGCAAAGCGTCGGGATACTCTTCGACTCCGTGAAATGAGATGGTTGTCGGCGACGGATTCGGTGTACTTGAACCAGAATTGGATAAACCGGTTAAGACTTTGCCTTTATCTGGAATCCGTCGGTAGAACAACATCAAAGGCGGAAATACGATCTGTGGAAATGATCAGAAGTTCGTCCCCGAGGTCATACAATCTCGGACTTTTCACGGTGTGCAGGTGTATAATTCGTTAAATTTGTAGACGTGATAACGTTCTCGGACATATTTGCTTCTCCTGTACTTAAAAATTCGCGATAAAATTGATTATCACTTTATTCTTTGAGTAGATTTTGTAGCACGATGGCTGTTCTATTTGTAGTTTCAATTTGGAGCACCTTGTCAACTTCCTGTTTTGCAGACGCATCTTCGCCAAGATAATAGTAGCATGCCGCCTTAAGCACATAGAGTTCGGCATTGGAACGATAGTCGTGCCGGAAGAGATATTGGGCATCACCCAGTAGCGCATTATCAATCGCTCGGATAGCAGATCGGAAATCGTTTGTATCCTTGTTGCGCAAAAAAAGCAGATTCGCAAATCCGACCCATGCGTCCGCATTTGACGGATCGAGTTGCACGGCGTTCTGGAAAGCACCTTGTGTCAGTGGCGGATTTAGTGATAGGCTGAGATGACTCCATCCGACACCGTTATGGGCATCCGCAAGATTTTCATCGAAGTTAATTGCGCGCTCAAAGCTGAGTAATGCCTGTGGGTAGTCTCCCGATTCGTAGGAACGCCATCCCTGCTCCATGTGATTCAACGCACTTGAGGTGTTTGGATCGGAATCACTGGAACAACCGCTCTGCATCAGGAGGCAAGAGGTAAATAGGGTTATATATACAATTTTAATGATACCTTGCGGAGGAATGATGTGTGTTTGATACTTCAACTGCTTTCCTCAAGAGTCGCCTGCGCCGTTGTTGCAGGCTTCGATTTCGATAGAGAAAATTAAAAATCAGATTATGCTACAAAGATGGCGACTTGCGTTAAAATATGAGCCAAAGCATGTAGCCCGTAATGAAATGGAGGGCGGATCCAACGCGGGAACCTTGAAATCTCAAACCCCCGTTACTTCTCCACAAGGTAAAATTAAAAATCAGATTTAAGCGTTGTCAAGAGTGGACTTCGAAGTGCCACGCAACGGCAACGGCATTTGCAATTATACCAAAACCGAAGATGAAAAGCAAGGTAATTGTGAGGGAAAACCACGGAAAAGAGGGGAGATGTCCCTGCGACGCGAAAATCGAGGCAAGTCCGGCGATAATCCCGATAAGCATGCCAATAACGAGAAGGAAGCAACTTTCAAGGAAAAGCATCCGCGAGAGTAACCGCCGTCTGAAACCGAAGGCACGTAGGGTCGCTAATTCGCCGCGCCGTTCACTGATATTTCTAAACAGAACGAGTGCTAACCCGAAAGTACCGAGTAGCACGCCTAAACCACCGAGGCTTTGAAAAGTGGAGATATAGGTATTTTCAACCGCTCGATAACTCGCCAAACGTGCGGACGCAGACGCAAGGTCAAAACCGTAGTCCGCTAATGTTTCCTCTAAGACCTGCGCCGTCTCGTCCCGCAAAGCAGGTGGCGTTTTGATGAGGAAAAATTGGTATCCGCTTTGACTTGGGAAGTATTTCGTGAAATTGGATTCAGAGATAATCAATTGGCTTTGGAAAAGACTGTTCACAACCGTCTCAAGTTCGAGACGGAGCGGCTTTCCAAATTCATCTTGGACGATAAAATCATCGTCCGGGTTGTGATGCAAAATCCAACGGAGCGACTTTTCATCACCGATAGCAGGAGCTTTACCGTTTTCAGTAGGCATTAAATGCAGGCTGACCCACGGGGCTCCGTCTAACATCGCATCAGAGGCACCCAAAATTTGTGGTTTCTGGGGTTGATAGAGATTCAGACAACTGACATCTTCACCCGGCAATACGCGAAACGGAATTACCTCCGACGCACTAAGGAGTTCAGAGGCTTTATCGGAAAAACCGAGTTCAAACCTACCGTCCGGTGTATTCAGGTTATGGTGCAAAGGGAGCGCGGATTCAGCGACAAAGGCGTATTCAGTCTCTGGTGGTGTGTCGTGTCGATTTGCCCCGACTGCGACGATAATACAGCACGCTATACTGATTGTGGCAACACAGGTTTTGCTCCGTCCGGGTTGCCGCGCCGCGTTTCTGACGGCGAACCGCACTCTGTTCAGCTGCTTTGGCACATTCTGTGATTTTAACCATTTATTGAATACCTCCGACCCTACGCCGATAACCAACAGTGCCACAAACAGTAAACTCACCACAGGCTGTTCTACCCATATACCTATTCCGAGCCCAATCGCGGCGGCTAACCAGCTCAGGGGTCCCCCCATCCTCCTACCTTTGGGTTTGTCTCCTACAGCTGCCTCAACAAAATCGGCTTTACCGGCGAGGAGGGACACGGTGGAAGTTTTTCCCCACTTTGTGGACAGTCAGACGGATAGAGAGCATCACCACAGCCAGCGAAATAAGTGCGCCAATCAGCAAACTCCATACGCTGATGTGAAGTTCCATAAACGGGGTGCCAATGGCAGGTAGCCACCACGTTTGTAAACCGAATATCATCAATTGCGCATACCCGACAGCGAGCAGACACCCCCATAGACTACCGATACCGACGATAATGCCGCCTTCATAAAGAAACCGACGGCGGATCTTCGTGAGCGGATAACCAACCGCTTGTAATATACCGATCTCACGCGACCTTTGTTCTACACCGATACGGAAGAGCATCCCCACTAACAAGGCAACAGCAATAATGATAAAAGCACTCAGACTGCTAAAGAGCGTCCCGAAATCTGTTGCACCGCCGGCGGCTTGAAGTCCGTCAGATTGAAGGGCTAAGAATTGAAATCCAACCTGTTCTGGCTGAATCTTTTTGAGGAACTCTGTTTCAAAAAGCGTGCGTGTCGCTTGAAGGTCTGCGTCTGGTGCAATACCCATCCGAATAGCAGTGAGGTCCCCGAATCGGTTTTTCCAAAGTTGCTTACCGGTTTCCAGTGGAATAAATGCTTTCGGTGTTGCTCCGTACGCATCCCAATACGCCTCATCTTTACTGCGAATAAGGGTGTAATCAATCGGAAATGGGGATTCCCACTCCGACATGTCAGCTGTCCCATGGATACCGGGGAAAGCAGGGATAACGTCTCTATCTGCGGTGATACCCTCAATCGGCAGAATCCCTTTCAGGCGGAACAGCGCCGTTTCGGTGATGTATTCTTCCCCGCGCCGCGACGCGATAGTATGTGACGACTGATCTCGTCCCCGACTTCCACGCCAAGGTCCCGTCGCCGTCCATGTATTGAGGATAATTTCAGGATTTTCTATTTTTTCCTTGCGGATAAGTAAACGGCATTTGAAGTTGAGAGTTTCCGTGTTCGAGTCGCCCTCCATTTCATTTCGGGCTTGGTTATCGCTTCGGTAGCACTTCTGTTAAGAGTTCAGAAAACTCTCCTCATCAGTGGGGAGTGCGACGATTGTCGAATATGGAAACGGTTTTACCGTTGGCAGAAATCGTATTCGCGAGATAGGTGAGTGTTGGGAGCGTTGGAATGCGGTTTTCAGCTGCGACCGTTAGCGCAAGGTCAGAAAAGATCGGCTTAAGGAGATACTGCTGACTTTGAACATCAAAGTGAGTGCCGTGTTCTTGAATGTCCAAGTCGAGTCCGTCTATGCGCAACGCGAGATCGTCAGACGCAATTGGGACTGCTTCCGCCGTAAACAGAGCGTTGACTCTATCCCCTTGCCCAAGTACTTTTTGTAAAACTGGGAGCGCGATGAAGGCGTTCAACGGAAGACTTTGATGGGCGCGAAGACTAAATCTCCCAGCGTTCTCAGTCGGCACAATCTCACTGACAACCAAGCGTAGGCTCTGGATAGCCTCGGATGCGTCGCGCTCGCGAGAAGGAATTCTGGATGGATGTCAGCGGCTTGGGGACATTTACGAGGAGCGTGATCGCCTACTTGGACGTCAGTTCGTTCTGTAGTGACTCGTTGATAACGATGGCATTGAAGGGTTTGTTCACTGTTTTGTCGAGACGTGGCGCGGCATTCCTGCCCAAAAGGTGAAGAAGTTTTCAGTTACACACGAGGATGTTACCCTTGACGCTCGAGTTTGCGTTTTGCGGAGCAACGATTGTCCGTTCAGCAAGATCGCTGAGACCGTGTTCTGTCGGTCCAGGACGTCTGGCGGGAAAAAGCGGTCAGCGAGGAGGGCATGTTGGATCGTGCCGAGTCGTCCTTGTTAAGCTCCGCAGGCTTCTCGCACAGAACTCGACAATCAATGCCCCCGCAAGCACACCCGTCGCCACAGCCGTACAAAGCGCGACGATGATGTATCTGCCAAAATATTTGAAATTTTTTATTATGATACCTTGGCGGAGAAACGACTGAATTTTGATCTTTTACGTGCGTTCCTTAATCTGAAAAATACCCAAGCAAAACCCTTCCATTTCATTACGGGCTTGCGTTGCTTTTATTTTTAATTGAAGATGGCGCCTGCCAAAACTGGTGCAGGCGACTCTTTGCAATTAGTTATTTAAACGCTTTGCGAATCATTAAAAAAACTTGCCGGGTATTAGGTATCTCCATTGAGAGTGAAAGTGCCATCTGAAAGCTGAAGGTGTTGCTGAAAGCTGAGGCAAGTGCAGGTTGTGCGTGACAACGATGAGTATATTCTGCTCTACACGGTGCAAGCTCAAAGAGCAAATAGCGATAGTTTTGGAAGTAGCAGTATCCAAATTTTTCGTCGGCTCATCGCGAGAAGAATACCGGGTTGATTGATAAGTGGCACGAGCGATCGCACGCGTTGTCGTTCACCCCCGCGAAAGTTCAGCGGGTCGATGCGATGTCCGATGCGTGAGCCCACCCGCTCAAGGAGTCATGTGCCCGTTGGGTCGCGTCAGGTTTCGGCTTAAGGCGAGTGTAGGTACGAGGACATTTTCAAGCACAGAATATTGCGGAAGTAGATGATGTTCTTGAAATACGAATCCGATGACAGCGTTCGATATCGCGCAAGTTCAGGTTCAGAGAGCGTAACGGATCGGTGTTGTTAATCTCAACCTGTCCGCCAGAGGGTTTTCTAAGTGCCGACGATGTGCAGAAGTGTACTTTTACCGGAGCCAGAAGGGCCCGTAATGGCGACGGACGTTCCGCCCATGAAGTTAAACGAAACATCCCGTAGGACCTCGACTGTCCCAAAATCTTTAGATACATTGGATACTTTCAGCAAGGGGGTGGTCGTCTCGGTTGGTTCATATCTATAATACTCCGGTAGACAAGGTTACAAACATGCATTTCAGCAATGGATAAAGGTCGCAACTGCAATCTATGATGGACAGTGTATCTGATCTGCAATGAAATCTGGGATAGGAACTGGGCGTAGTTTTTTCACCGGGATTCGTTATACAACAAACTGTCGTGATCTGCCCACGTGCGATGTCTTTTCCCTGATGCGTAAAATGAAATTGGTAGGTGAGGGACTTCGTTCCTTTTTTGGTAACTCGGAGGCGAATGTCTACTTCATCCTCAAATCGGAGCGGGCTTAAGTATTCACACGAAGCCGCGAGTCGGGGCCATCCGATCTTATCACCGTTCCATTCGGTTGCGACACTTGTACCTAAACTACGGAGGAACTCGTGTTCAGCAGTCTCCATAAAGACAAAAAACCTTGTAAAATGGACGATACCCGCCATATCGGTATCGACGAACTCGATTTTGCGTTTGGTTCGGTACTCGGTGTACATTTTGGGTTATCCGGTTTATAGGACTCTTCAGTCTTCGGTTTTCTGTCGGTTTTAGATGGAGGATCGCGAGCTGGAGCTCGCTCCTACAGGAATGTATCGGGAATCGGAGTTCCCTCCTACAGAAGCAATGTATAAACGAAGCAGCGCTTGCGAGGCGTTCCATAGACTGGACCCTTCGCAAGCGCTCCTACTGAGAAATATGTACACGATTACATTTTTGGAAAATCCGGTACATCCTCATATCGACTCCACGTCTCAGCGTAAATGCGCCAGTGTCCATCGGTTGGATCTACCATGAGATTGAGTTTTTTAGTGCCGTAATCGGAGTAAGCGGGTCGGCTACCACTCGCCGGAGTGCCAGTGAATTTTTGTAGAAACTTGACATCTGCAACTGCCCGATCTCCGTTAACCTGTAAATTAGAGATGGAGACCTGGATGTCAGCGTATATAGTGTTGAGTTTCTTCATCTTGGCGCGGAGCTGCCCCTTTGTAAGATAGACCGAAGTTTCCCTTCCGCCCCGGACATTCACGCGGGTAATTTGTGCTTCATCCGAATAGATAGACATATAGATCTTCAGGTCCTTCACTTCCCAAGCCGACTGCCATTTCCCTAACACCTGTCTCACTTTGAGGTGCGTATCCAATGGAGCATTTCCATCGAAAGTGCCCCCGGACTCTTCGCCAGAGACAGTGTCCACCCCAGGCACATCTGGCGCGAGTGCGATAGCATCAGACATGACATTGATTTGATCGTTCATGAGTTTCCATCTTCGTCTGAAAAACCCCTTTTTCTCAACCGTGAGTGTGCGGGTATGGGTCTCAATGGTATCGCCACCATTTTGCAAAGTTATCTGAATGTTGTCAACCATGTGGCGGTTTTTGTGTCGTGGAACAACAGTATAAGTGGCTCCAGTAAGATCGACGACATGGGTTTGCGACATCAGGTCCTTAGCACGCCCGAAACTTGAAGATCGTTTTTTCCGAGCGGATTTATCCCATAGGTTGGTATACGCCTTTAAATTCTGGGTTTCTAAGGCAGCCTTCCAAGCCATCACGAGGGGTACGACAGGGCTATTGGGCTGCTCTGTCATCCCGGGTTGCGGCGTGGGAGGGGTTGACAGTGTGGGAGCGAATTCACTACCGACTATCTCCTCTTGGACAATTTTCCACCGCTGTTGAATAATACCTTTCTTTTCAATAACAAGATTTCGTAGCTGCTGTTGCGCTTCGCCCGGGTAATAAGCCGTGAGCGGAATCCCTTCAATCCGGAAGCGGTTTGTATAGCGAGGAACTCGATAGGGTTGGCTGGCACCTCCAAGGTTAACCTCAAAATTTACGTTATCCCTAAGGAGTTTCACAGTCCTCTGATAGCCCGTATCGGGACGCTGGCGTGCACTTTTCACCCAGAGTGCTTCATACCTTTTAGGATCGCCAGTTTCGAGTGCGCTCTTCCATTTCACCAAAAAGGCTGTAGGGGTCTCACTGGAACTCATGAAGACCACAAGGAATAAAACAAAAGCGATGACGATTGCAGCAATCGCACCACCCCACAGCAGGTTCCGGGGTATAGTGAATTTCTTTTGGCTGTTTTGCCGGTTCTGTGCGTCGTTCACAATTTAACCTCCGCTTCTACAGACATTTTGCTCCGCTGGAGCAAGGAGGGCATTGTATTTTCTGCCGTGATGCAGAACCTACAGACATTTTGCTCTGCTGGCGTATTTTCTGCCGTGAGGTAGAACCTGTCTGTAGTATGTAGCCCAACTGTCCATAATTAAAAATTTGGCACGTTCTCATAGATTTGCCAGATTTCGTGATGAATTCTCCAGTTGTTCCCAACTTGATGCATCCAGACTTCGCGAATCCAGATATTGTAAAGCTCCGTCGCGTTCTCGTCTGCGGCTGGCATCGCCAATCGGGTCAGTCGATGGATACCGATAACGCTTTCTCCCTCGACCTCGATATTGGTTTTGGCTTTATTCCACGCGTAGGTGCCCATCTGGTGAAGATTTGCCTCCAGTTGCTGGAGATCGATTTTACTTCGATGTTCTTTGCTCTCGCGAATCACGACTTTGTCGGTAATAATATTAGGTTCATAGTAGGCAAGGTGTCCATTGAGGTTCTTCGCATGCCACGCGTGTTCCCAATTACTAAGTGCAGCCTTACCCGTTGCGATCTGTTCCGTAGAAAGCGTAATGCGTCCCGTTTTAGCAGGATGGAGTGGAGATTGACTGTCAACATACGCCCGAGCCTCTTGTGCTTTCTGTTTGAGATATTCCGCATGCTTTGTACCCGCATTTTGCTGGTTGGCTTCTGCGAGTTTCTCGGTATAGATTTGCCCCTGTTCACGGAGTTGTCTCTTAAGGGAATCTATCTCAGCAATAACTGTCCGTTTCTGATACCCTTCCTCTTTCACCATTATGTCAGCAACTTCAAGCTTCCGACGGAGTGCGGCAACCTCTCTACCGTAATTACGGATCTCGGTTTCCGCCCTTCGAGTACGCCCCTGAATCTCTGCTAAAGTTTCAGAGAGTTGTGCGACCTGTTCCCCGTAGGCTGCCCGTGTATCGCCCAGTTCACGATTCTCTTTCTGGAGGTCGCGAACGGTCTGTTTCAGTTGCTGTCCCTCGCTCTGAATGTTCTGAATTTCGGATTGAAGTCCTGTGAGTTCTTCCTTTTTACTGTTAACAGTCTCGCGGAGTGATTCTGCTTCAGCTCCCTTCTGGAGTATAGAGGCATTTAATTCCGAGTTTTTAGTGATATTAATGGAATTCGTTCGTGCCAGTGTAGCATTAGCTATCGCTTGATACGCGAGGCGGAGTGCATCGTTTCCTTTTTTTTCGTCGAGTGCTGTTTTTGCAGACTCAAGGTCGGCTTTCGCAGTCTCAAACAAATCAGATGCGAGTGTCGGTGCATCAACATCCACTGCCGCTGCCAGAGCGGCTTCAGCGTCCGCGATCGCCATATCAACTGCTGATGTTTCTATTTTTCCGAGTTTTCCGCCACATCCTACGAAACCGAACGAAACGAGAAGCATCCCAATGAATAAAATCCCACTGGGTGCGACGTTACCCTTCCGTGATAAAGCGATGAATCGTTTCATTTTCTAACTCCTTTTTCTATAGACATAACACCCCTACGGGGTGTGAAGAGGCATTTTTTCTTAAAGAATCTGTGTTTAAACACCCAAACCCTATTAGGTAGCAACTTGGGTATTAATTTCTAAAAAGAACTACCTTTTGGTAACAAATGTCTTTTCTCATTATTCAAATGCAGACAAAGCCATGACTTCCGGTTGGACGGCTGTTGACTTCATGTGCGCGAGTGTGTGCTTGATTGTTGATGCCTGTGCCTTACCAACTCCATCAACTGCCTGGAGTTCACCAACAGCAGCTATGTTGACCCGATCCAATGTTTTGAATTTGTGAACGATATTTTCAACAATATTGAAGGGAATACGAGGCACTTGGCTAAGCATCCGATACCCGCGGGGTTTAAGCACCTCGAAAGTGTTACACACATCACGCGAATACCCTAAAGCTTCACTAATGTCACTCGGGTTTGCGAGGCTGTGTACATCAAGACCCAAAATTGCTTCAAACGCTTCAGAGGCGTCACGTAGACTCTCATGATAATAATCTTTTATAATCAGAAGTCCACTCTCAATTTCAGTTGTGAGTTCGGGAATAACATACTGTAGAGATTGCGCCTGTGTGCCTAACTCGATCCTGTAACGGTCCAATTCCTGCTCAGCGCGGCGAACGCGTTCACACAATTGGATAGCCGCGACGACATCCGCCAAGGTCACATCTCCACTTAATTCAGCCCAATTCAGAATGGTACCGGCGTTTTGCAGTGCTTTGAGGTGCTGCGTCAGTGCGAACATCGTTTGATTCGCGCAGGAAAGCAACGTAGAGCATTCTCGGAAAATATAGTGCTGATCTTTGAGATACAGGGTAAGCGTATTTCGGCTTTGTGACACTGCGAGGACAATCTGCTCAGTCTCTTTCGCAAATTTATCCGCCGAGCGGTGGCGGAGTCCTGTTTCATTCGAGGGAATCGTCGAGCTGGTTCTCAACGTTACATTCGCGCGCACTATGCGTTTTATATCTTCAGAAAGAATAATCGCGCCATCCATTTTCGACAACTCATATAAACGTGTCGGTGTATATGGGCAATTAATCCGGAAGCCACCTTCTGTCAAATCCAGAGTTTCTGGCGTATCACCCAAGACGATGAGCCCACCGGCTTTACTTTGGATGATATAATCGATACCTTCCCTCAGATAAGTCCCTGGCGATAGCAGCTTCAGTGCCGCAAATAATTCGCATGTTTTTTGATTTTCCGTTGAGATGTTTTGCACTGCAACCACCTCCTACATTAATAGAATACCATATCCGACAGGTGGTGTCAAGGTGAACACCTTGCCGTCAGAAGTTCCTTGCTTATATCTGTGAGATATAGGTTACCACACAAACCTGATATGCAATACCTGTTGCATATCGTTCCGTTTTTCCTGAAAAAACGCAAAGTCTACAGAAACTGAAAACCTTCAAAATTCTGCTTGACTTTACGCGCAAATAAGTGTATAATGTATACAAACTTTTCACCTTCGATGAAAGTGTAGTTTATGCCCTAATCAATTTATCAAAGGGGCACTTGTCGGAAATTTTGACAAACCCAAAAAGGAATTCGTGAAGATCCCCAAATTTTCACACTAAAATTATGCGATTTAGCTTATTAGGTGTGTTTTGCGCGGCAATTGTTTCATGTAACAACGATCAACTCCCTTATGTAACGATTGAAACTGAAAAAGGAAACATCATTATTGAACTTTACCCGGATGCGGCTCCAACCACAGTAGAGAATTTCGCGCGATTGATCGAATCAGGATATTACGATGGCGTGATCTTCCATCGACACGTCCCCGGTTTTGTTATCCAAGGTGGCGATCCACAGGGAACAGGTAGCGGCGGACCTGGGTGGACAATTCCGGGTGAATTCCAAGACCCAGAACTTCGTGACAAGATGCCGGTTCACGAAAAAGGTGTCGTTGCAATGGCACGGACACAGAACCCTGACTCGGCTGGAAGCCAATTTTATATCTGCATCAGTTCAGATCCAACACCTTATGCACATCTAAACGGCAGCTACACCACGTTTGGGAAAGTTATTGAAGGAATAGATGTGGTAGACGCACTCCGTGAACGTGATGCCATGAACAAAGTGACAATCGAAAATTACGCAGTCGCACCGTAGCATATCTAATTAATTCCACGTCCCATGGTCCCTAATGTAGAACGTTGCTCGCGAGTTTTTATACAGCGCATCGTGCCAACGGCGCAACAAGCATTCGCGCGGAAATTTGGAAAGGATGGACATAATAGATGGAAGAATGGAAACGTCTCGTGAGAGATACTGTCAACACCCCAGAAAAACTTGCTGCTGCATTCGATGTTGACTTAGAAGAAATGCGGCGTATTCACAAAGAATTCCCAATCCGCATCAATCCCTATTATCTGAGCCTCATAGAAGAACCCGGCGATCCGATTTGGAAACAGGTAGTTCCCGATCCAAGAGAACTCGTGAGTACCGGCGTAGAGGACCCACTGCACGAAGAAGACGATAGCGAAGTGCCAAACGTTACGCATCGATACCCCGATCGGGCACTCTTCTATGTCAATTACATGTGTCCAATCTATTGCCGTTTCTGTACCCGTAAACGGAAAGTCGGTGACCCACACTCCATTTCCGAAAATAACATTGAGATCGGGCTCGCCTACATTCAGGCGCATCCAGAGATCCGTGACGTAATCATCTCCGGTGGTGACCCGCTCATGTTGACGGATAAGAAAATTGATATGATCCTCGGGGGACTGCGAGCGATTAAACATTTGGAAATCATTCGGATCGGTTCGCGCGTCCCGGTAACGTTGCCGCAACGCATCACACCAGAGTTGTGTGCGATCTTGAAGCGACACCACCCTTTTTATATCAACACCCACTTCAACCATCCTCGTGAGATTACACCCGAAACAGAGAAGGCGTGCGGTATGTTAGCCGATGCAGGTATACCCCTCGGAAACCAGACAGTGCTCCTGAAAGGTGTGAATGACGATCCGGCTGTGATGGTGGAACTGATGAAAGGACTATTGCGCATCCGGGTCAAGCCGTACTACATCTATCAAGCCGACCTTGTCGTCGGCACCGACCATTTTCGGACAGCGATAAAGACGGGTTTAGACATTGTCGCGGCGTTACGTGGGCATATATCTGGGATGGGTGTCCCGCATTATGTCGTTGATGCCCCCGGTGGCGGCGGAAAAATTGCGCTGATCCCTGACCCAGTTGTATCCTTCGATGACGACGAGATTCGCCTCCGCAACTACGAAGGCAACGTCTATAGCTACCCGAGCACACCGTTCTTTGATGAGGATTGGTAGATTCAGAAACATTTATATTTATTGTAAGGGTGGGTGGTCTTGCCCACCCTATTTTTTTCTACCTATTTACATCTTGGCAATCCAACCGTTTGTCAACAAAGTCGTGGAAGGGTTATCTCCCCTCTTCTCCTTTCTATCAACTTCCTGTTTCCCATGAAACTGTCGCGGTTGTGAACCGCTTTTCCAACGAATCATAGGTCTCTCTCTACACGATAACCGTGTTCTGTGAGCGTAGTAGATACAGATGTCCAAACGGCTCGTGCTTGTTCGACAGCCTTAGATGCGTCTGCGTTGGTGGTTTCCGGCGTGTCCTCTGGGTATCGGGCTTCAGCTGCCCATCGGGTTAAGTGCGATAGGTCTGGATGTACGGTTTTGAGATGCCAACTCTCAGGCACGAGATCCCGTAGAACATTCAAGTCATACGTTCTCCGAAAATCGATCTGTAAGAAGATTAAGACTGCCTTCAGTGCCTTTTCTGCAGTTTGTTGAGCAAACCAACACGCTTGGCGAGGTGGAACATGCGGCTGTCTTAAAAGGGTTTCAGCGGTTACTAAGTCTTCCTCCGCATAGCGGAGCCAGCGGGCGGTGTCTACGAGTCGATCGGTCGTTTGCATAGCGGATTCTACCTCCTTGTTGGGTATACCACAGCACGGAGCCGATCCGCGTGCGACTGCGTTCCAACTCTTCCAAAGGACTTTACCTTCCTGTTGGGCATAACGCAGCACGGAGCCGATTCGCGTGCGGCTGCGTTCCAACTCTTCAGGCGTTGAGACAAGGATGTCCTTTGCCACGGGTAAGTCAGCCAGGGAGCGCAGAATATCAAGGGCAGTTTTCCGTTTATCTGTGAGTTCCGAAAAAAACGACGAGCAGATCTATGTCGCTCTGCCGATCTGCGTCCCCTCGTGCCTGTGAACCGAAGAGGATAATCTGCAAAGGGTCAAAGTCACGCACGATACGCTCTGTCATAATCGAGATGAATTCGTTATTCATTGCACGCTCCTTTTATTCACGCTTTTTAGAAGACTCAAATCGGAAACTTTCAGATGCGTACATAGTTTACATTTCACTATAAAAGCTTAACTTTACGAAGCCTCGTGCATAAACGTCTATCCTTCTGAACCTTTTGTCTTCTCAAGGAACGGACTGAGCAGATCAATCGGGATTGGGAAAATGACGGTTGAGTTTTTCTCTGCACTGACTTCTACCAAAGCTTGAAGGAATCGGAGCTGCACGGCGGTCGGGGTTCTGCTGAGGATTTTCAGCGGCATTGGTTAAGACCTCGGCAGACTCGAACTCACCTTCGGCGTGTGTAATCTTCGCACGCCGTTCCCGTTCCGCTTCCGCCTGTTTCGCCATCGCGCGTTGCATCTCAGCGGGGAGATCCACGTGCTTGATCTCCATCGAAAGCACCTCGACCCCCCACGGTCCACAATGTGCCTTGGTGATATCCTCCAAATCCTGATTTAATTTTTCGCGTTCCGAGAGTAAGTCATCCAGTTCAGCACGTCCAAGCACACTACGGAGCGTGGTCTGTGCGACCTGGGCAATTGCAAAACCGAAGTCTTCAACCTCGATCACCGCTCTATCCGCTTCGGTCACCCGAAAGGTGAGCACTGCATTGACGCTCACGGAGACGTTGTCTTTTGTAATCACGTCTTGAGGGGTGACATCGTTGACGATCACACGTAAGCTAATGCGCTGCATCCGCTCAATCCAGAACGGTATCATAAACACAAGCCCGGGTCCACGGGTAGCCGTTAATCGTCCGAGACGGAAAATAACGGCGCGCTCGTATTCCTTGAGAATTCTTACACTCGTCGCGATCATAACAACGACGGTAATTACAATGGCAAAATAGAGAGGATCAACTTGTGGCATATTTTTAATTTTCCTTTTTTTAATTTTCCTTGCGGAGAAACAACGTGCGTTTAGACATTGACAGGCGTTCCCGAAATCCGCCCTCCAAATGTAAAGCAAAGACAAATTATGCCATTTAAGGCATAATTTCATTACGGGCTACGCGTTTTGAAACTATCTCAAGAAGAAACCTTTGTTGTGAGACGAAAACCTCTTTACTAACTGCTAATTGCCAACTGCCAACCGCTAATTTTTCCTTACGGAGAAACAACGTGCATTTAGACTTTTAGGCCTGATGCTATCAAGAATGGCAGCCAGTAATGTCGCGAGCCTTCTGAAAAAAGGTGCGTTTGCGCGGGGTGTTAAGTTGCCATTGCACTGGCACGGATTGGTAACCGTTGCAATAGTCATTTTCACCCGGATCGAAGTAGCCCCATGAAGCATATTGGCTCACGGCAGCAACGAAGTTATTGAGGGGTTTATCGAAATCGAAATGGTCGTCTTCATTGAAAAGGATTGGTATCGGACGGTAGCCCGGCACCTCACGCGTCTGTTGGACCATCTCAATGATGCGGTTTGGATCGCTCACGCCGTTTCCATGGATAAGCAGAAAATCGGAGGAACGGACGACATTCTCCAACGGCACTCTACCTCCGCCGTAACTGGTTCCGACGAGGAATCTATTGCCATTGTGTGTCGTCGCTTTCACGCGCTCAATCAATTCATGCACCCGCTCAGGCTGCAGAATTTCATGTGAGTATCTCACGTTGCACTCGTTGTTAACCTCAATGATAACATTGGTATACCCTTTGTCGAAGAGCCAACCTGTTGCGTTATCCACGGCTTTTTTGACAGCGTTTTCGTCAGTGATCCGTTGGTCCTGTCCAAAGTAGAAATAGCCGAGGATAACAACCATGCCGAGTGCGCCAGCGAAGTCGATGATACGTTCAAGCCGTGATAGATAATCTGCATTGAGACTACCATCGGCTTCTATCCCGGAGTTGTGCCACGGTTGCGCTTTGGAGTAGCCCTCGGGACTGCCGCCTTGGAGGTTAAGAGTGAACGCCAGCACACCGTGTGCGCGCCATGTCGGCATCGCTGATAGAAATTCACGCGTATTGCGCTCTGGGTCCCATTCACCTGTATCTGGATATTCCCAGAGATGTATCGTTTCGGGGTTCCGATCATCAAAGATGCCTTGCACCATACGGGTGTTGAGAAGCAACCCCTCAACTTTATTCCCTTGGTAGAAACGTCCCGGATAGGTAATTTCTCCATTGATGTAAAACGCATCGTCAATGATGCTAACTGCTGTTTTCATTCTTTAATTAATTGCTCCTGGGCTGCCTTCCATTGCATTTCAGGCAGGCTTCCGGTTAATTCGTGACTGGGATTGAGGACTTGTGCAGCTGGCGAGGTTTTCCCTACAACACCAGCAAAGGTACTTGCATAAGTCCTGTTACTGCGTCTTCTGCGAAAGTGCTTTGAAATACTTTCGCAGCTGCTCCCGATACTGGAACGGAATGTCCTCAAATTCCTTTGCATAAGGTGTGATTTCTAATTTCCGAACAATTTCGAGGAGTTCAGGATGCAAAGGCGGCACTTCCTGTGCGGGTGTTTCGGGCTTTTTCGCCACCTCTGCTTTGCGCTGTTTACCGACATCCCGTTTCTGCAACGATTTTAAACTGTCAAGCATCCGCGTCAAAATTTGTGCCTGTCTATCGAGTACCTCCTCGTTGAGTTCACCTTGGTGGAGTGACTTCTCAACCTCAGCCATCTCCGCAGCGACATCTTCAAGACTACCGAGCATCTGCGCCATCTGCTCTGCACGCTCAGCGAGCCGTTCGGTCGCCTCTCGGATGAGCTGCTGCTGACCAGCAAGTTGACGCATCATCTGTTCAAGCCCTGGCGTTTGTCCCTGTTCTCGCAACTGCTGATTCAGATTCTGTGCCATCTCGTTCAGTTGCTCCTGACTCTCGGCGAGCTGCTGGAGCTGCTCCATCATGTTTTCAAATCCGCTGGCACCCATCTGTTGGTTCATCTGTCCCATCGCCTCGAGGAGTTCAAAGACCGCCTGATTAAGATCAGCAAGCGCCGCTCTTTGGATGGGTACCGCGAGGCTTGGCTGCCGATCCTCTAAAGCGCGTGCGGCACGCGATAAGGCATCGTTTGAGGCGTTAAGATGCCATAACGCTTCAGGTGGGACTTCTATCTGTCGGTTCCCTAATTCCCAAAGTTTACTGGAAAGTTGTGTGATACTCTCTGCCGTACTGAGTTCATCAGCGGCGAGTTGTTGCAATCGCACAATCTCACTTGAAATGTAAGCATCAGACTGCCCAGCGGTGAGGATGTCGCCTGTTTGGGTGAGGACCTTCTCATGCAGATGAGAAAGGTGGAGCCCACTTCCAACGGCTTCCTGCAGCGCAGTCAAGGTTTCGTTGGCGTTTGCGCCTTCCATGAACGCCATGGCGTTATCCAACCCCTGTGCGAGTTCTGTGAGCGTCTGTTCTGCATCTCGTCCCGATTCAAGTGCTTCGCTCTCTGCCCACCGCGGAGGTTCTCACTGGTCGTCTCAAGCATTTCAGGCAGTTTATGCTCGTGCGCAAACTGATTGAGTCGGAGGATTTCATCTGCGAGTCGTTCTATTTGTGGCGGTGCGTTCTCTTGATTCTGCGCCAGTTCACCCATTTTTGTGCCGAGTTCCTCTAACTTTCCGCTGAGTTGGTCGAATTCATCCCCCACCCGGTCCTCTTTTTCTGCGAGGTCACCCGTAGATTCGGACTGTTCCGACGACTCCAATGTATCCATCAACTGCTTCTGCTGTTCGGCGAGTGCCTTCGCCTGTTTCGCCGCCGCTTCGAGTTCCTGTTGGAGGAGAATCTGTTCATAGAGCGATTTGGCACGTTCCAATTGCTGTAGAGAACTGTTCCTGACTGAGATTCGCTTCCTCCATCGACCGCTCCTGATCATCTACTTCCTGTTTCGCGAGTGCCTCTGATAATTCCGTAAAGCTCCTTATGTTCTTCAGAAAGTGCTTTCTCCATCAGATCTTGCAGTTTCTTGATATTTCTCGATCGTCTCAGCGTCGAAGAGTTGATTCTGTTCCATTTCTCCGCAGTCTTTTTCATGTCTTCGATTAACTGCTTCGCCTTTTCCTCAATCTGTTTCTGATTTTCAAGCACCTGTTGCATCAGATTTTCGTCATTGAGGGTGAGTTCCTGGCTCTTCCTGATTTTATCGAGGAGCGTGTCAACCAGACCGGTCGCGTCTGCCTGCTCGTCAACGAGTTCTTCAAGCCCTCGTTGCTCGGTTTCCTGCCCTGTAGCGACCGCATGTATAACTCGGAGAGGGATGGAAAGCGGAGTGTATAGGTATGAGACTTCCCGATATCGGTCCTGAGACATCGTCAATATCCAAGGCTTGAACGTAATACGCAAGCGTTCACCGGGGAAAATACCAATCCGATCCACATCCACGTATATGCCACAAAAACCGATCTGTGCGAGATCAGCGTCCTCGACCTCCCAACGTCTTTAAAGGCACATTACCGCCTCGGCACCTTCACTCTCAACGCGGTATACCAATTGGGAGTCCTGTATACCGTAGTCATCCGTCGCTCCACCTTAAGTTCAATCAACATAGCATCGTTTAAAACGGTGTCCCGTGCTGGGGTGCGACAATCGCAACATCGGGTGCGACATCTTTGAGAACGTAACCGTCCGGTTAATGGGGCTTCGATTCGTGAACCCGTCAATATCGGTAATGGAGATACGATAGTTTTCACTCTGTTGGGCAAACGAAAGATCCTTGTATTATTTGCGGCGTAGCGGGGGTTTCCGGTCCCTGTTCATCCGCCCATTAATTGTGTAACAGCACTGTGCAACTGCCCTTCCGTAATCTCCAATTCCACATTACCCGACGCATCAAAGCGAGGTGTGCCTTCTGAAGCGGTTTGTTGCTCTCTCCAGTGAACACAACCTCTGTTCCAAAAAGCACTTGGATGTCCCCGACGTTTGCTGGAGTGTCTGGGACTGGAGTGCGTGTAGGCAGGGTAATTGAGTCGATACTGGAACTGCGTGAAACAATCGGTTCATTGTGCTGATTGTTATTTGATACTGCTCCGATGTCACCTCTTGACCGAAATATAGTATTGAAGCGGACGTGTCACATTTCAAGCGTGGCACTGTAGGCAACTCGAAATATCGGAAAACTGTAAACTGCGTCCGCATTCAGTGGCTGTACGGAGCATCAGCAACGATTGCCATCCGCTGTGACGCGTAACCTCATTTTCATCGCCAACGCGATAGTAAGTGCGACGGTAGTACCAAGTTGCCGCCTACTCAGCAGTTACGTTAACATCGGTGCCTCGTTCAATTGATATTTACCGGGCTGGATTTTTGTAATCTGAATAGACTCTTTAGATATTCTGATCGTCTTGCAGCGTTTTTGGTAAGGTCTGCGGAAAGCTGTGCGAAGCCTGTAAACGCGGTGCGGTAACAGAAAATGTGTAACAAGGAGCAGGACGACCTCCGCCGACAGCGACCCCTGCATTTCGCGAATCTTCCGAAATTCGGGCTGAAATATCGTCGGTGTTGAACCTGCCCATATCCCGGCTGGCTTGAACAATCAGGTGTTCAACGAATTCCAGTGCATACCCAAGTCTGTTGTTCTCTAAAGTCTTCCAAAGTTGGACAGCACTGAGCACCCTGTTTTCAGCGGCGAAGGCCGCCCTCTGTCTGCGTTGATTCAAGGCGAGATGCGACAGCCGCGTCCGTCAACTTATTGCAGAGAGGTAGAACGAACTGTCTCGAATCACTGCATAGACGGCACCACCTATTGATGATAGATGATCGCGATGCGTTCCAGCGCGAGAGAAAGGGAACTGCCATAACTGGAAAACTCACGCTAAAATGAGAAGTGTCCCGCATTACAAGTGCAGAACACCGATACACTTCAAGAATCCTTCAGAGAAAGTGAGGCCATCGCCACTGTCGCCGAATAGCACCGAGTCGATTCAATCAGGTTTCCGTAAGCCTCGTTCACATTTGTTCTGTCCATTTCATTCTAGTCCATTTAGTGAAGTGAGCAGACGCATATACAGCAATATTTACTGCCATTTCGCTGCGAGTTCGCGGACACTGAGCGATATCGTCTGTATGTACATCGGCATCCTCAAGCCATCACCGATGTCAGCACTGTAGGCATAGTAAACGACCATACTCCATCATGAAAAAGCCCAAACCTTGTGCAGGTTCAGCATCATGTTCATGAATCTGGGGAGTCCTTTCAACTCGTAGAAACACAGCGATAAATCAGATGTCGGTTTGGGACAGGCTGTAGCTCCTGCTCTGGAACTACTCTCCGCATTTCGCTGCGAAAGCTTTTGTCAGCCCGTAATCATCGTTCGCGAACAGAAAACACCCACGCTCTTGAGATAATCCCTTAACGCTTCAACTTCACTCTCAGTCAATCGGATATTCCGTGTCCTACCAGATAGAGTACCGGATACTGATAAAGGGTATGATCCGTCAACTTAATAATCACCCTGTCCTTAGCGCGTCTCAATATCTGCTCGGTCCCGGAGAAGCCGGAGCCAATTCTTGATAGTTGTAGGATCGCCATACCATCACCACCCCCACCATAGTGGATTTGGGGCGATCGTTATCGGGACATCCGAAGCCTGCAAACCCGTTTCACCTGAATACCAATCACGGCACAAAGAGGAAACAACCGATCCAAAAATAGTTATCAGTTTTCAGTTTACAGTTATCAGTCAAAGAGGTTTAATGTAACAATTCACATTTCTTGGAGGACTCCAGTTTAGGGTCTTTAGTCTCATTAGTCAGGCCAACCGTTTACGCAAAAAACCATTCAGTCCCCAACAATCAGGACTGTTGATGAAAATCAACGGATGTGCCCAGAGTTCGCGTTCTGCGTCAACGAATATCGGGTTTTGGACATTTGGCAATGTTTTCAGGGAGCGATTCCGCGTCAGCCATCTTAAAATAAGCACCACCGGTTTGTCGCAAGTTGCGTTCAGCAAGTCTTCATTGAGCTGCGGATTCTCCAATTCGGCAAGCTGCGGATGGGCATAAATATCGATTTGATCCTCGCCTAATTTCAGATTGCCGCTCCTGCCAGTTGCGCGAATACGGTACTTCCCGTTTTGCAGTAGCGACGAATTGGGCAGTATAGATGGTTGTTCATATTCGCGATTGTGTCCGGTTGCGACAGCATCTCGTTCGTGCTTTCAGTAGCTGCGTAATCTGGAGTTGGAAGGGGGGCCCCCATCAGGAGGCACCACTTCGATCTGAACTGTTGCCCCCCGCTTGTGGTTGATAGGTTTCAGAGTATAGATACGCTGTAACCTTCACTGTATCCCCTATCGCATAAGTGGAGGCATCTGTCGTAAGGTATACGTTCTTGTCATCGGTATTTGTTGCCATCCACCGCAGCACCTGTGCCCAAAGCGAGGATAGATTGCGTGATAAAACGCGTGTCTTTAAAGGTTTTGACACCAAAAACCCCAATTCCAGAAGCCTTCCGCCCGCAATCATCAGGCTTTTGCCTAACTGCTCTTTGGAGAATCAGAATAGGCATGCCTTTCCCATTCTCCATCAGCGCAGTTGCTCCGCCCTGAGACGGAATCCACTGAAGGATCGCGACAATGCTGGCATATTGGCTATCAGGGTCGGCTATCAGCCGTCAGTAAAGAGGTTTTGGTGAGGGCTCGTGGGTGAGTGCCAAGAGATACTTCCTTTTGGCCGACTGCCGATTGCTGACTGCCATTTGGGTGTCAGCAAGCTGCAAACATCGGTTGTGATGAAACGCCCCGGATTGGGTTAGCTGCGCAGTGAATCCGTATCCTCTATACGACATCCATTCTTCGGGATGTCAATTGCAAAAGCTGGCTAATTCTGTATTTCCGAGCCCATTCACGCCGAGCATGTTCCGAGGAAGGTAGAAGATAACCGGTTTCCTGCATCTCAACGAATCAACGATTGCGCGCTGTTGCGTTTCAGTGAGATGCTCAGCCCCCAAATCACCTAAAATTAGCACATCGTACTTAGAAAGTTCGGCGAGCGTTTCAGGGAACCGTGGGGTTTCCGACGCCGGGGTCGCTTGCGGATAATACCATCTAAGCGATTGAGCACGCTATCTACCGGTAGACGCTTTAATCTATTAGACGATAAGATTGCACAGGTAGCCTCAATATCTGGATCTCGTTCAATGTTCGTTTCAAAAGGTGTTAGTCCCATCTGGGTCTGCCTTCCAGATAGAACGTTCAGCCTTGCTTCACAACCTTCATGGAAAACGTCTTCTGATTGTTCGCTTCCGTGAGTTCACCATCAAGCGTTGGAAGTGTAACACTGTATTGAAAGTTACCTTCTGCCTGCGGTGTCAACTTTAATTCAACCATCTGTTTTGTGCTGGCATCCACAGCGTTTACTTCCTGATGGGAGCTGAAGGTCAACGTTACAACATCCACAAGTCTTTTACTCTCTACTTCCCGCAAAGACAACTGGGTCGTTTTACCGGTGTAGCCCGTTTGCACAACGTTCACACGAATGACACTCTCATGGTTTGTGTAAGCAATCGGCGTGTAATCAACACGCTGAATCTGAATGTCTTTTGGCGGTTCCACAGAGCCGACACCTATCGGGTAGATCGGCACCTCCAATGCGGTGATCGTCTCCAAAGGGAACCGTCCAGAATTGTGTGCACCATCTGTAATAAGGACAATACCAGCGGTTTGTTGTCCCTTCCACGCTGACGCGGCTTCCCGTATAGCACCCCCAATATCAGTAAGTGCGCCTTCCGCCCCGAATTGTGGCGGTGGAGCATCATCTCTTGTGCCAATAGGACACTTGTTGCAGTCGCGTATTGAAAGGATAGAGATGAACTTCAAACCTATCTTGTAAGGTTTGCAGGAATTGCCCTGGGACATTGAAAAGCAGTTGATTCACCTGACTGAGTCTGGATATAGGTATCTCACTCATGGATGCATCAACGAGTTGCATACTTCGCGAGGTATCCACTAAAATGGAGAGGTGCGTCGGTGGTGTGATGTCTTCTTTTCAATGACAACGGGGGCTAAGAGACAACCGAGCAGAATCGACGCTGCGGTGATCCGCAGCAGAATGAGCAAGAATCTATACCTCGGGTGTAATGGACGCGCTATCCGCAAATAAACATAGACGGTTATACCGATGACAACGCCGATACCGAGCCACAACTATCCACCCTGGCAAAAAATAGGTGATCGCATATCTGGATTACTTCCTTTCACAACATATGTATAGTCCAATTAGCGAATCAATGTCAACCCGATTTCTGCTTTTCTTAGACTATCGGTTCTCGGTTAAGATTGGTACCGAACGGTAACAGAGAAAAATAGGTTGACAACAGACACCTCTCTTTGTTAGGAATATGCTTAATCCAAATTTTGTAGAGGTGGAGTGCAACATGGCTGAAGAGAGAAAATAATAAACGAGAGTGCTGGCGAAACCGAAGAGCAAACCCAGGCAAAACAAGCGTGTATGATCGTCACGCTGCGCAGATGCAGTCCCTTGATATTAGTGATCGGTTTCACTGTCGGACGAAAAACCGGCATACCGGCTGGCAGATTAAATTAGAAGGCACCAGCGCGCGTCACTATCAACTTCATAACTCAGTATGCGAAAGTTTGAAGCCACATAATGCAGGCCGATATTATTGAGCGTGTACGGGGACGATCTGCATTCTGATTCGCGAACCATCCCGCTGATGGCTTACCGTTCCCAAATGATGGGTGTGTCTCATCATCACCACTCGCGGCGGAGTAATGAACGGACACTGTTTCTGAAGCCAATCGAAGTGGTAGGACAGTATAGTTCTCGCCGCTATGAATTGGTATAGGGGTGGCGCCATTTTAGAACGCATCTATCAGCTTCTCTCCAGCTTAAAGGGCGAAACGATGATTCCGACAGAAGTGTCCTTGAGCCAGAAAGTTACAGCGAAACGTTCGTTTCTCAGAACTCGCCGAACAACTTGCGAGTGTCAAGTGCATATCGCATTTTGCGATAGAACTCGCGACGCAATCACCATCGCCATTGCGCAGTCATCGCATCCAACAAGAAAATACGGACTTGGTCGTATCTGGAAGAATTGACCCCTACACCTGTCCGACCTGCCAGCACCGGTGACGGTTCCTACCGAGAAACGAATGAGAACGATTTTGAGCATGATGATAGTGTCCAATCTGATCGTGTGTGTCCGATACAGGGTGACACGTGTATCCGGTGTGTGCTAAAGGTGTGACGTATTTGAATAAAAGATAATATTTCACCAACAGCGATGAGAGAAGATGATGAAACCAGAGAAATAGCCAGAGTAAAAAACTGTGACCGGAGTTTGGTGGCAAAAATTCATCCAGAAATACTTAGCATCCTCGGATATTTCTAGGTGAGTCGGTGTGATGTTTGTTTGCAGTCTCGATGTGATTAGGATAGCGGGATGGAGGCTGCGGTAGTAGCAATACTTTTTAGCGACAGATAGATAGTACAGTACGTAGCATCGTGTATTGGTGTATGGTCAGGCGCGTCGCAGTTGGACAAGCGCGCCTAACGATGAAATGAACTTACTATGAAGGAAAGTGATCCAGCGTGCGGATCCGCTAGCAGCTGAGACATCAGCATCACGGTGGCTCTTCGCAGGATCTCTGTAATGAGCGGTTTCCAGTCGTCAACAGCAGAGGCTGCGATACTGGACTAGCGTTCGTGCAGGGCGGATCGGACACTTTTGTCGGGTCAACAAAAGACCCCTTCCTCACAGTCATGTCGCGCACTATTACAGATGTCTGCGGCAGTTGAGAACGCGTGACGTTCCCGTCGCCTTCCAATACATGGATACGTATGGCAACAACGATCGAACAATCGCATACTCGCCTTCATCAATGCAATAGCACGCACCTGGTGAGAGCAAAGCTGCGGCGATACTAGTTGAGCACCTGTTTGTCTGGTCTCCTCGCCAGTTTACCAATCTGCTAAGGACGCTGTCGGCTGCGCACGTAAAAGTGCTATACCCTCCACAAACCGGGACTATGCCTTCTTCAACTGCAGCGCGCGTTGCGGCGAGAGCATCTTCAAATCGAGCCTTCTTCTCTTTCATCTCGACTTCCGTAGCCGCACCAACATTGACAACAGCGCCACACCCCTGCGAGTTTAGCGAGCCGTTTCTTCCAACTTCTCTTGGTCATACTCGGAAGCCGTTTCCTCTATTTGCGTCCGAATCTGTGCGACTCTCCCTTCAACGCTCTCTTTGGGCACCACTACCGTCACGATTGTGGTGTTATCCTTGTCACAACGACACGTCGGGCTGTTCCGAGCATGCCCACAACGATGTTTTCCAGACGGATGCCCGTCTCTTCAGAGATGACTTGACCACCCGTCAAATCGCGATGTCTTCTAACATCTCTTTACGTCGATCACCCGAAACCGGGGATTTAACGGCGGCAACTTGAAGGTTGCCACGAAGTTTATTCACCACCAATGTAGAGAGTGCCTCCCCTTCAATATCCTCAGCGATAATGAACAAGGGTCTGCCGAGTTGCATCGCCTTCTCCATAATTGGCACAAGATCCGTCACTGTGGAAATTTTCTCGGTATTGATGAGAATATAAGGATTCGCAAATTCGACCACCTTTGCCTGCAATGTCAGTTACAAATTCGGTGAGAGGAAACCGCGATCAAACTGCATACCTTCAACAATATCAACGGCCGTTTCTGAGGTGTTGCCTTCCTCAATAGTGATAGCCCGTCTTTTCCAACTTTTTCAAGAGCTTCAGCGACGGTAGCACCGATATTACTGTCGTTTGCGGGATCATTGGCTGCGATTGAGGCTACCTGTAAAATCTCCTCATGTGTATTAACAGCACGGCTCCGTGCGGTAATCGCATCAACAGCAGCGACGACAGCTTTGTCTATACCGATCTTCAACTGCATTGGGTCGGCACCGGCATGACGTTCTTGAGACCCTCATGCAGGATTTCCTGACCCAGCAAGGTAGCAGTGGTAGTTCCATCGCCTGCGACATCGTTTGTTTTGGTTGCAATAGATTGGAGTAACTGGCACCCATATTTTCATAGGGGTCCGGAGTTCAATTTCCTTTGCGACGGTGACACATCGCATGTTACCAGGCGGTGCCCCGAAAGATTTTTGAATGACACATTTCTCCACGGGGACCAAGGGTAACTTCACGGCATCAGCGAGT